AATCATGCAACTATTCATTCATATAGAAAATGTGGAAATAAAGTGAATTTAAACGTAGAAAATATGAATCTTAGTTTGTACCTATAACGTCCTAGTCTAGTTACTATATTAGTGGTACAGAGGTTTTGTTCTCCCTAATATGCACTTTTTAAATTATTTTAAATGACATATTTATCATTTTTACGCAGGTAGCTAGAGAACATAAGGAACTGTTTTATTTGTAAAAAAATTTTGACCTTTTTTTATCAAAAATGAAAGAATAAATAAAGATTAATATATACATAAAGTGCTTAACAATTTAAACTGATCGCTTGTTCCTTTGATTACCAGGAAAATAGACCATCGAAAAGAAAATGGAGTGAAACCGCTGTACCTGTACCAAGGAGCAACATTGACTTCAATAAGGTAAAATTAACGTACCTACAGTTAGCATATTTTTGCTGCCTTCTAGTGCTTGATCAAAGTCCCTCAAAACTTCTTTGAAATCATCGTCATCCTTTAATTCCTCAAGAGCTTTGATGAACCTTTGGTCTGCTGCGCCTTCTTTTTTCAGCAAATCAGCTAGGTTAACTATAACGTCTTTGGGATCAAAAGCTGTCCTTTTAATTCGGAAGTCCTTCCATGATTTGTTGATGTCGTTGCATAAGGAGGTGCCAATATTGGTTATAAACTTGGCTTGGACGTCTTTAGAGAAGAAATTAGCTTGAGCATTTCGTCTAAACCGATGTTTAACGGTGACATTTTCGGAAGTTGTGCACTAGATGATTGAGCAAAAAAATCAAATGTTATTCATGCCCCAGGCTGTCGATTAGCATTTATATTTTACCACAAAAATCGTTATCGTTTAATATCTTATCTCTCTTTGCAAACCAAGGGTCTTATTTTTGTATTTATTTTTTAAATGTAATGGTTATTGTGTAAATTTAATATTGTGTACGAAACAGAGTTTTCGTGTAAACATTATGAATATTGAATAGCTCATCTTTCTTTTTTTCGATTAAGCATTTATATTTATATATTTAGAATTGTTTGGTTCTGTTTTCGATCGTTGGTTAAATCTCTGGCTACTAAAGGTAATCTGTATCTGGCCCCTGTCTTTAAGTTAGCCTCATTGACTTACATAATGGAATTTGTATCTGCGGGTACTCAATAAACCTATATTATCTCTTGTCTATATATTGTATATTTGTCATCATTTTGTCATCATTATTTGTCAACAATAATAATTGTCATAAAGTTAGCCTCATTGACTTACATAATTGAATTTGTATCCGGATACTCAATAAACCTATATTATCTCTTGTCTATATATTGTATATTTGTCATCATTTTGTCATCATTTTGTCATCATTATTTGTCAACAATAATAACAATAACAACAATCTTTCTTTTGTACCTGTGGATACCTTTTACAGAGATAGATAAAATAATAGAAGTTATAAAACAAGACCTAATCAAAAGCTTAAGTAACAATGCGCGCAAAAAGCAGGCAAACCTTCTATTGTTCTGCGGCAATTGCAACTTCCCCATATACGAATGTCTTGGTTTTCACACTGATATATATCAACCTATGGGTAACACATTTCTAAATGTGGATAAACTCTGTTTTGAAACAAAGTTTCTTTTGTATTAAAAGATCTTGTCCAATCATAAGCACTCAAAACAATAGGCAAAAGATGCTTCTAATTTGCTATGTTCCCCACATAGATTGCTATTAATTTTAAAGCTAAGGAAAGCTTTTATGAAGTTAGAATCAGATATTAAATAAAATGTTAAAAAATGCGATTACTTTTGAAATTATGTCAGATTTTAATGTTTTAACCAATGAGATGGATGGATTATACAATACACAATTAGCACCTTCATGCATTCCATTGCCGTTTGCTTGCCTGCTTCTTACTCGGACCATTACTTAAAAGCAAATACTGTGTTAGGACCAGTCACTGTTTTAGAAGTTAAAAGAAATTCAAAAGGCTTTTAAAAAACTAGTAGTACGAAATTTACAAATATATAAATAGATAAAAAAGCACACGTTTTTGACCCAAATTACTAAATAAAAAAAGGAAAAGAAAAACAACAAAGTCTAAGCACTAAACAATAGATTAGATAGTAAATAATTAATAAGCAAATTTTCTTTGACCTCTGATTTAAGTTTTTTTTTAGATTTTTTATTATTTTTGCAGCGTTTATGTAATGATTTCCAAATTTGTTGAGCCTAGATGTTTAATATTGAACTTGCCAACTTGAATTTATCATCCGAAAGGCCTTTAGAAAAAGAGGAATTAACGTTTATATAATCGTAGAAATGTCCTATTTATTGTTAAAAAAATCTATTTATGAATTAAAAAGGCATAGTGAATTAATGCGACCAGAAACAGATTGGTATTACAAAAAGTTGGTAGCAATTTTTAAAGCAAAATATATAGAAGAATTTTTTTGTTAAAAATTCGCCACCGAACTCACCAAAAGGAACCGCTCATTTCAGCAAAGGCATCCAAAGCTCGATTTTTTCCAGTGATCTTTTTCTATTTTTTCCAGTTGGGTAATCAATAGTGTCGCACTCATTTTTCGATACATTTTTTAAAGTTGAAATGGAAAATTATATATAACTGGATTTTAAGAGAGACGAACAACTATATGAAATCGCTTACCTTAAGCAGTACCAGACAGGCAATGAAAGAGTAGAGCGTGCAAAACGTGGCTAGACGCGGCATGCTTAGCAGCGCCTCTTCGTCAAACTGACGAACCCAACACGTTTTACATGGAATATATAACTGCGTCAGTACAAGTAATTTGCATGGTTAATCTCACTTAGAGTATCCTCAGGGGGGCCAATCCTTAATTGTTGTGTAGGGGAGAGGTGTTTGGATTTATTCAAATACTCTTTGGTTAATTAGCTCTCTGAGCTATTGAAACCAAATTACGATTTAAATATAACCAAATGCTGACTTGAGGAGAAAGAAACATCTCCTTCCATTGATTGTTATTGCAAAAATCTTTAACAATACGTGTCAAAAGAAGATCACAAGGGGTCTGTAAGTTTTTTTTCACACCCCAGACACGCCCTTCCCAGGACGATCCCACATACTATGAACTCCAAACAGCGCTAATTGGTTCGCGCAGGTACTTACCTGTGGTGTATACAGTTCGCTTGGTACCTTTATCTAATTGCATATCTAATTCTGGTTAAGAGAAACGTATCGGTAGCTTGCATCACGTAATATTTATGTTTTTAAGTGATTTTTCTGGAAGTGCTGTTTATTTCAGCAAGTTATGCAATCAAAGCGTTATTAGAAGTGAACAAATTTGTCGCTCACTCACTCTCTAAATCACATTTATTTTCTGTGGGTTTTGGCTGGCAAAATTCTCTAGAATTTGCTAAACTTCTGTGTATTTAAAAAGAAACTTCGAGACGCTTTTGTGTTCACTCTCGGACTTGGAATCTCAACCTTCGCTCAGTTTTCTGACAAAGATTTTGCTGGTTACGCGTTTTTCCCGTTCAAAGCGAGAAACCGCTGCTTTAGTTGACAACATTTTCTCATGCRCAGAGACCTGACCAAAAGAAAAAGAAAGCACGAAAAAATGTTGTCATTGCAACAGCCCTTCGAAGTTTCATTTTCTCCGAATTGAGGCTAATCCTGTTTACCCAAAAAGGCTTATACTCTAGTTCTTGTAATGACAACATTTTTTTTCGTTTTTCCTTTTGTCGATCGCATTTAACGGGAAAARGACCCATGGGTGCTACCTGCTTCACAAATGATGAAAGAGGAATACAGTTTATACATTAAAAAAACAATAATTAGATTGTACACAGTGCGACCTCATTGAAAGTTGGTCAAGTCAGTTTAAACTAAAATGGTATTTCATATGCACCTTATGTTAAAACACTAAAACAAGTTTGTTACGCCTACCAGCAAATGTTGTYTCTACTACTGGACACGCCTTTCGCAGTAGGGCGTTCCAATCTTCAAACAGCGCTAATTGGTTTGTACAGGTGCTTACCTGTGCTGTTCGTTTGGTACCTTTATTTAATCACTTTTCTAATGGTGGTTCGGAGAAACTTCTCGATAGCTCCTATCACGAAATGTGGTGTAATTTATTTTTAAGTGTTTTTTCTCGCAAGGGCTGATATATTTCCAATTGTATTTTTTTTTTTCATGTTCACTTTTTCATAAACCTGATGATCGTTATTGCAATTTTCAACTAATCAAGAATTTTTTTTGTCAGACGTAAACGTCCCAAAGTGAGAAAAAGATCAGGGAGATGTGCTTAGCTTCAGTAAGTTTTCATTAACTTTAGTTTAATTAGGCAAGAAGTATTTTGTTTCACTGATATCCACGTTGATTTGATCGCTAATATCCCAGATGATAGACGAGGAATACAATGCACTGAAGGAGCACTGCCTCAATATTTGAYAACTGGAATCTTTATTAAGTACAGTATGAACTTATTGCTTGGATCCAGCAAAACGATTTGGGCCATCTRTTGATAACAGAAGTCATCTTATAATAATTTTAATGAGCAAGTTTCGCTTGGAACACATACAGGTACCAGCTTAGGGTTTTTTGGTTCTTTAAACACGGACAGAAAGAGAAAACAACATTGCTGCATTCAAATGTTTACAAATGGCTGTAGACAAAAAGAAAACTAGCAAGTGTATGGTTCTATAAAATCGGCCAAAACCTATCTCTATTGAGACTAAAACATCAAAATTGTAACCATATCCCAGACTGAACGTAAAAAAGCATGCCCTACCCCCAACAAACTTTTAAAAAAGTCAAAAACCTTTCCCTATAGCGAGGCACTTACCCGTATAGCAAGGCTAATTTTATTGCTCCTCTTGCTTATTGAGTTACTGGTGCAAGAAGATTCTGTGTTCAAAGTTGACAATTCACCCCGCATCCTCCCCTGATATTATGATTAATGACATTTTAGAATTATAGGTGTATGTTTCCTGTTTTAGGGTTTCTTGATATAGTTACTTTTTATTGACTATTATATCAGCAGAACTGAGCTTTTATTTGAATTGATTGTACTRGCAGAATTTACAATTATTACCTCTGTTTTTGATCATGCAGTCTTTCTTCTCTTCGACATGCTCCATTTCAACGACCTTTTTCGTCAGGTGTTTTMTGCGCCTTTATGCTTTTTTATTCTATCTTCTATTTGCATGCAGCTTGTTTCTTTGCACCAATCCAATTTTAAGTTTTATTCACCATGCAATTTCCTATGTTTATTCTGTTATAAATCGAGTCCTTCTTTTTTTGGTTGTACCTTTGGTACATTGGTTATCATCGATCAACATGATACGTCATCTATATTGGCAATGGTAAATGACCTAGGCCTTGATCTTCTTGACGCATCAATGACAAACTGGCAGATCTGATAATTTGAAATATCACCACCAGCACCAGTGAACTTTAATCCAGATTTGAACCGGGTCTTGACAGCATTGACTACAACCTGGGCATCAATTTGTCCAGATTGCCGTTCTTCTGCCTCAATAGCCAAGTACGGGTGGCGCCAAAAGTGGAAATCTCTTAAATTCGGATTCTTGAAAATGATCCACAGAAGGCCTTTGTCGTTTTTAAAATCAATAACTGCGTCGTCTTTTTGGAATGGAAGTTCAAGCTTAAGTTTCAAATTGGTACCATGAGAAATGATGATGGGATACGCATTTCTTGAACCAAACGMCTTTTCAGTTAGAAAGCCTTGACCGTTTACTACAATCTGTGTTTTTCCTTCTTTCTTGAAGAGYAGCCTCTTGCAATTAGAATCATACCATGAATCAATAAGTTTGTTTTGCTGGGAGTCCTTGATACACAGAGTATTTTCACACTTAAATTGTAATTCGTCCAGTGTGGCACCGGTAACGATAACCGTATGTGGACCCAAGTGATTGTTTACCACTCCACCAGATCCAACTCCGACAACCAGTGTRTTGAGGCTAYTACGATCAGTTCCTCCTTCGACAACGACATTTCCTGARCCCCCAGTGAACTTATCAGCGACGATGAAGCTTCCAGACGATTTGTCACCRAGTTTGTATGTTTTACCTCTTGTCTTGGCAAGAACAACATTTGCACCATTTCCAACATTGATTACTTGGCCAGTACCAGATGGAAGACTTGTAGAATCAAGAATTGTGTCAAACGGTTGTTCAAGGTCAGTTTCATGATGTTTCAACTKTTCRTAAAGACCCTCTACCAAATCTTKTGGTGTTATRCGATCGAATTCCTTGTCGTTTTTTCGAAATARTAYTAGTGAAAAGCGCTTTGCAAAGTCCAAAATCAGATCAAACAAATTTGTCGTGACTCCACTAATGAGTTTTCTTCCCCATTCTTCGTCAATTAAAACAGTTTKTGGTGGGCTGGACTTGTCTTTGAATACAAGTTTATYATTTTCAATCACAGGAGWTAAGTCATCAAAACTGGTTATGGAGTCAAAACGTAGTTGGTTTCCAAAATCYTCTTCTTTTATCGTCGCCSTACTTCCTTTCGTTGTGACTTTAACTCGGACRACTTTAGCTGTGTTTCTATGTAAATCGTTAAAATTTGAGCCTGGTGAAAATATCAATTTTCTGTTAGCGCTGTCTTTGGAGATAGTCCCCAAGTTTTCAGCTTGTTCACCTTCTCCTGGGACAATCTCGACAGTGTTCAAAAGYACTTCGGCATGGTCATCTTGYAACATGTCGATATGAAGCTGTTTTTCTGATTCTTTCCATTCTCCATATATGGTTGTTGAACATCGAATGGTACTTCCGTCTTCTCCCATGAGCACTGAGATTGTCAAATAATCTGTGACTGTAGGACCATAAACTAAATAGGTATCYGCACCTGATCCYCCATCCAGAATGTGTCTACCACGGGCACTYACTAGTGTGTCATCTCCATCTYTASCCTCSACGGTTGTCTGTCCTCCCTCTGCAATGATGAGGTTGGCACTCTTGCTGCCAATGATTCTTTCACACGAAGAGAAGCTGATTACATTCAGTGCATGCTTCACCCATATTTTTTGTCCTGACTTCGGGAGGACCCATCCATTATTTGTTTCAAATTCTTGATATATATTAATTTCACGAATTTTGTATTCTTCATCTTCATAATGTTTGAATGAAAGAGTGTTTTTTGTATTCGGACCAAATTCGATTGTATTCGTGCCCTTGATTCTTCTTGGTAGCACCATTACGTCTTTTTCAGTTGAAAGAGGACCCCAGAAAAATGTCGTTCGGTCAAGAATGTATCTTTCTGCTCCATCATAGTACTTGGCATCTATATAAATATTTTTTTGTTCGTCATTCGGAGGGGCGTGTACCTCGACTGATTGTATATTTTTCAAGTACAGAACATGGGAATACCTAATGTCACCATCAAATTCGCTGTCGGTATTTCGAAGCACCCATCGGCCATAATTTCGAATTTCAGTACTTGTTCCTGGTGGAGGCATGTACTGGATAACCAAAGTGTTTTCGCCAGTACCACCAACGACGTACTTTGCCCATTTGTAAAAACCGGAAGTTTGACCTGATCCCCCTGTAACATCGAGGTCGGTATAACGATACCAGTTTAATGTCGATCCTACTGATACCACATTATTACCTTCACCAGTAAACACCATATCTCCAAGACTATACGATACGTCGATGGTATTGTCCTCATCACTACCAATCATCGTTGTTGGAATGTAGTGAGCAAGGACTTCTAAATTGTCTGGCGATGCAGCGGAAAATCGTACAAAATCATCAAACACAAAACTCTTCTTAAATGCAAATACCAAAAGAGCTTCAACTTTCTTGTCTGCTGGGTTTGCCGTTAATAGATCGTTTTCAAGTTTAGCGTAGYCRGTGTTCAGAYYGCTAATAGCATTGTTAGCCTTTCGTATCGATGAAGTAGAGGTGGACACTTCGTACAGGGATACTCCATCAGCGAAGTACTTTTTATCTACTGTTTCAGCCATAAACCATAGCATTTTGTTTTTCAATTCTTCTGCRTTACTTAAACTCTGAGGTCCTTTGGCATTGAAAAAATCGAGGAATTTCTGTTGAAGATTACAGGCAGGCGAGGTGTCGAATGCTGGTTTGTGAACAAATTCRAYGAAGCCATCCGGCCATCCTTTAAAACTTGATCCCAGACTTATTCCAGATCTTCCTTTTTGGGCTGTGGATCCGGATCCCGAGGTATATCCAATATCTAGGTAAATTCCTTTTACGGGTGATGTCCTTTTGGGTTGCATGTGTGTCTCCCATTCTGGACCAATTACGAAGCACTTTTGACTGTCRAACTCTTTGTAAATCAGAGCTGGACCGGCAATTTGTAGAACATCGCGTCCTTCTTGCCCTTCGCATCGCTCATCAACAGCAGGTTCGCAGGCAAGGGTATCGTCACCTTCTCCTCCCAACAGAATATCTCTTCCTGTTCCGCCGTTTAGGTAGTCATGACCAGGTCCRCCAAATATAGAGTCGTCACCCCCTCGTCCAAACAAGATGTCATCACCTTCTTTACCATAAACTTCATCTGGACCAAAACCTGCCAGAATCTCGTCGTCGTTTGCTCTTCCAGTCAATGTTTGACCAAGAGATGTTGCACAAACCAACGCTACTCGAAGATCCTGGTTGTTGAAATCTTCTTTTGCATTGGTCGTCAAACATCGGGTTATTTTAATTTTTTCAGCTTGCAAGGTCTCTGTGTCAGCATTGATGCCTGCTGCCTCTGCGTCAGTGTAGTACGTGAAGATATCAAACCCTCTATCCTTGTATGTTTTTTCCATATTGTCAATATAGTCATTGAATGCTTTGGACGATGTATACTGTGCAAATTCGTCGCGAACCCGCTGTGCAGTTGTTCGCCAGTCGACCAAGTCAGCTAAGAAACCGAGAATTGTGTTAATGACTTGTAAGACGGTGCTSACAAGATCTACAATTGCTGATAGAGGTGGAAATACAAAATCTAACGCCACACTTGCACCGTCAAGAATAGCTGTAACTCCATCAACCGCTGCCATAACACCATACACTATGGCTTTCCCTGTCAGTCCTTGTTTTGAAGCGTCACTTGCAGCAATAGCATTCTTTGTCATTGAAGTTATGCTAGTTCCAACTGAAATGACKCCGCCAACAACAGATCCGAACCKTTTGAGCTGATCTAAGGTRTCTGTACCAGCCTGTSYTAATKTGTCGATGATATTTTTTTCAATTCTTTTTCCAGCAAACTGCACAACATTTTTCATTCCACTAGCGAGACCAAACGTTCCTTGGGCAACTCGCAGTCTACCATTCCTCATCATCTCAYTGTATTCTGTTTCACCAATACTGTCGCTTTCTCTTAAAGTTTTTGCTCTATTTATGACATCATTTCCAGCGATTACATCGATTCCTCCCTGTGCTAATGTAAAACCCGTTGTAGCACTCTCGACTCCAAAACCAATCCCCGACGCAAGTTTATCGCCAATCTTTGTCGATTTAAGCTTTCCTCTTTGTATTCCCGCTTTCTTTTGGGTATTAAAATTCTGTTGGGTCAACTGTGTTTGATCTACATCAGGTCCGGTTCCTGGAAGGTTCTTGATCTTCTCAAAGGATTCTGAAACAACTACATCTTGGATATCGTCCATACCAGTTCTTTGTAGACGTAGTTCGACTTCAGGTTGGATATTATTTCTGATCATTGCATCGGCATTTTCTTGTCTAAGGACATCGACTGTGATTCCATTCTTTAGTTTGTAAGCCAGTTTATCATGTTGATAACTTATTCCTGCCATCGCACCTAAATACAAATACAGAGAACTTTAAAATAGAGTCCGCGACGGCACTACGATGCGGCGGGATGGTTGTTAGGAAACCCGGGGGGTGACTCCCTTATAAAAGTTGGTAGGCATGCACGACGGACGGATTGAAAACTGACCCTAAAAGGTACGCATAAATTAATTCAGGTATCGATTCCAGACCCTAAAAGGTACGACCATTTTTGGCGTCTTTAACAAGAGAAAAGCTCAAGTTTAACAAACTGTAGAAAATCAACGTCGATAGATTGTTGAGGTTAATAAAATATATTTCTTTATTAAAACGTCTTCAATTTTTTCCCCATTGTTCGGAAAATGACCCTAAAAGGTACTGAGTCAGCTCATGACCCTAAAAGGTACGCGAGGGTTTTATTTTCGACACYAAAAGGTCCGTCGAGCATACCTACTAACTTTTTTAAGGGAGMCCCCCGGTTAGCAACCGTTGGAAGCGAATCTCGTGATACTTTTATAGAAGACAATAGATGCATTTTCAAACAACAAAACGAAACCTAACCTAGCAATGGGTGTTTTGAATTAAAAATATCAAATCAAAACAAGGCTTTCAAGTGTTCGTGACAACCCGACACAAAGTCAATTGTTAATTTTACGCTCAATAATCCAGTTTCGAATTCTCCAATGCTGTGTGTTAGCCTCATTTGTCCACAAAATATTCTTAATTGTGAGTATAAAAGTGCGAGATTTCAAAGCAATTTTATTTTCTTTATTTTCAAATGCCATGCGTTTTCTCGGTCTATCAATAATACAAAATAATATGTTACTTGGTTTTGAGGCTAGAGCAAACCATCACTCCAAATTGGAGTATTGTTTATAGAATCACTTCATTGGAATTGGTTGGTACTGCATTCACATCTTTTAAAACTGAACRACTTTGTAGAGCTATGCGAGTACTAGTTTAAAATCAATAGACACTTTTCAGGTCCTGGATTTCAMAATTACACGACCATTAACATGCAGAAGTTATTATTCGATCACACGAGATCTTGCGTACTATATCTTCTTCATGTCCATATTTTTTTCATCGCATAAAGTCATCTTGCTAAAAATACTGGCATTTAGATCAAGTGATCAATGACATTGTAAAGTTCCATTGTGCGTCATCTTATGGGTTTTGTTAGATTTTGGTCAAGCTTTTGCTATATATTTTCTTGAAGAGAACCAGTCGACTATTATATRTATTACACGACTCGGTATGATTATCTATCTTTAAGGCCCACGTTAATAAAAGAACCTCTGCGCAATTTTCTTACATTCCAAAAATGTTTGATTCTCAAGGTATTAGACATCAACTTTAGTCAACAAATCAATTTTAAAGCAAAACGAATGATAGGAAAGGTTCTCGGCTGCACGTTGGTCTTTAATCGGGTTTTCTACTTAGTATAGTAATGTAATTGTTTCTATGTTGCAGACTGAGGAGAACTATATTGAGTTAGATAGAATTATAAAGATCTTTCCATCTTTTGCTTTGTCATGTTTTTTCTTCTTCGAATTTTTCGTCCTTTCCTATCTTTTTTCTTCCCCTCGCCTTCCTCATTTTTTATTTCTTGCAATTTTCTAATTATTGTATCAAATTCWTCTATTATTCTGATTCGTATTTTCAACACAAATAAATACTCAATCTTTTCGACAGTGTTTATCCATTAATTATCCTCGCCTTCCTCATTTTTTATTTCTTGCAATTTTCTAATTGTTGTATCAAATTCTTCTATTATTCTGATTCGTATTTTCAGCACAAATAAATACTCAATCTTTTCGACAGTATTTATCCATTAACTGTTACCGAAATTTCTATCCAATTCTATTTGTAATCTATTCAGTACTCAATGATTTTCTCTACACATTTTAATAATATGAACTTTTAATCCTACCTCGATTAGTTTTTTTTTATTTGTAGGCCAATGGAATCATGAGCACTTGTATATATATTCATGACTTTCAAAAATGGCGCGATGTGTCACGGTCGTCGACCAGGGCACTGGGGACGAAGCACTAAAACGAGGTCTCAAAGGCCAGCCTCCGTATAGTGAGCTTCCATGGTGTCTTGCAAGAGTGTTTTGATATAAATAACATACCAATACATCTTTCAAACTTTTGGACACTGCCTACATACGATCTTCGTAGTGATTTCTTGATGGAAGGCCTTTGAGGTCTAGTTTCCATGATTCGTCACTAGTCCCCAATATAGGCGGACGTGAGCTGGCGCCATTTTTGAAAGTCGTGTGTATATATATATATATAATAGTAATGAAATTGATTGACTGATTGTATATATAATTGACAGTGTTTATGAAAAGACCACATCTAAACCCATCAAACCTTCTGTTAAGTCCTTTATAGTTTGAGGAAAAGCGGCCATCGTTCCACCAAAGGTTGATCCTGCTCCTGATATGTAGGTACTGTATCTTATCAAGTCATTTTCTTTATCTGACGTTTCTCCAGTAATCACTTCACCTCTCAGGCCGACATCTAGGATGGTCTGGGATTCTGCTTGCTGTACTTCCGGCAAGTCCTTTCCTGGAAAAGTTTTTGATGATGTGTAAAGACGTAATTAGGTGGATGAGATAATAGTATTTTATACCTCAACTATGTGAATTGTCGCGCGCTGATTAGAGCGTGTTTAGGCAAGGTGCATCGAGGCCACTTTGTGCAGAAAAGCATGATGGTATAGTTGTAGGACTTCCTCGAACTTTTCACAACCAATGAAATATTTCCTCATGGATGATAAAAGAACTTTTTCTTTTATTATCTATAATCTCCTTAAAAGCCGTTTTTGTATTTTGTTTATCTATTTTCTCTTATAAAAAAAAACAAAAACTGGTTAGGAGGACTGTTATAGCCGACATGAAAATGTGCGAGAACTACAACTACCATTAACCTTTGCTGCACAAAATGGCGTCGCTACACATTGCCTATTAGAGGATATTTATATCCTCTAATATTTATAAATACAATAGATCCCACGTCCCGCACGCGCGCGCGCTCAGTTGAAAGAAAAATAATGATTTTCGTTGATTTTTAAGCTAAAAATGTAAAGAAAAAAAAAACACAAATGAGAATTTTGAATTTATGCTTCGTATCGACCAATGACCTATTGTTGTGTTGCAATTGGGAGGCGTGGTAAACGCCAGGGTAGTGGCGATCTTGAAACAATCTTTCGTGGCGTGCTTGTCACAGTGGTAACACAAATGGACAGAGTTAAGATGGCTTTTATTCAAACATACATTTCGATCATAAAAACAAGGATACTATTGTGAATATCATGTTGAATGAAGGAGAAATGATTATGCAAACACAATATTACGTCTCAGTAACAACTGCTAATTCTACGCCACAATAAATGCATAGGTATTGACACAAAACAACAGGTATTGCTAGCAGGTAATCTCACAAGACTTGACACCGTAACACGACAAGCAAAACACTTTAAACAATTTTGTTGTGTTCTCACAGACCTCCCAGCATACCAATTCACTGGAAAACATCGCGCAATTTAAAGGGCTGTAAATTTGATGTAAATATGATGTAAGTGTTCAAAATGATGTAAATTTGATGTATATTTACATCAAATTGACATCAATTTGGACACTTACATCATATTCACGTCAAATTTACAACCCTTTAAAGTGCGCGATTTTTTCAAGTGATTTCATCTCTTTTTTTCATTCGAGGGGAAAATTTATCTCCAAAATTCATCGGTAGTATAGTGAAAATAGGCATTTTAAAACTTCTTACAAAAAACGGAGTTTAAGCTACACTTGGTGTGTGTATTGTCTCAGTTTCAGTATCAACTTTTATGTTAACTCACTACAAAACCAATTCTTAAGACTAATGTTTTCCCCTTGTGCATGCTGTCATTAGTTTAAGATACCACAGGTGACAAAATTCAAATACTAGATGTTAGTTAGTTATATTAGTTGTATTAGTTATATTAGTTCGTTGGTTATATTCCACTAGTTCTGCTTTAAAATAGGGACAAAAGGTACCTCTTACCAATATTGATCATATTTCTTTGTCCGCTGACGGCCTCGTCAAACTCCCTTGTAACTCTTTCAAAATCAGGGTCATCCTTCAGTTTGGCTATCCCTTCATAATATTTAGAGTCGATTCCAGGCTCCTCTTTCAGGAGATCAACCAGGCTTTGCACGACGGCTTTGGGATCAAATGCTGTACTCGCCGCCTGAGGTGTCAATGATGTAGACATATCGAGACAAAGGGTTTTGCCCAATTTGGCGAGCCACTTGGCTTGCAGATCTCTAGTGAACAAGTCAGGAAGTGCAGTCCTTTTGTCATGATGTCTTGAAGTGACATTCTTGAAAGTCGTATGTGCGTGTTTTGCTTTACGATTCTTAAAAGCTTCTGAGCACTGTAAGGATTCACAAGAAAATATTTCATTGCCGGATTTCAAACCGTGTGGGACTGGGCAAAATCCCCTAATTGGGTAATCATGACATAARACTTACATASAAAGAAAGCCYKYSTWGAGAAATGCAAAATTCCAAAATTTGATGTAAATCAGTCCAATAGTGAGCGAGTTACGGCCTTTCAAATATTCTAATATTTCCAAAGAAATGTATCTGGATGGAAAGCGCCGTGAATGTGTCCGGAAAATGGTCAAAATCCGGACACATTCACGGCTTCCCATACATTTCTTTGCAAATTTTAGAATATTTGAAAGGCCGTAACTCGTTCACTATTGAACTGATTAACACCAGATTTTGAAATTTTGCATTTCTCAACAAGGGCTTTTATTCATGTAAGTCTTATCTCGTGATCATCCAATTAGGGGATTTTGCCCAGTCCCCACTCGGTTTGAAATCCGGCAATATCTTTATGTATCCAATTATTATTGATTGTATTACTAAACTATTTCAGTTAACTATACATCGTTGAAATAGTGAATTGATTATTTTTTTCGATAAAAGAAAATGGGATGACGAGGGAAGTCATGTTACGAGCCTGCAATAACACCAGATATGATCACTAATAATTGAATCTATTTATGCGATAAGCTGCCGTTGACGTGATTTGAACAATTTTTAACGTGCTCAATGATATGAATAATTAATTTCTGTTTTCTCTAAACTCCTATTTCGAGCTTCTATTTGTCTGAAATAAGACTACATACGCAAAAGCTTACTCTTTATTATCCCTTTATGCTCTATGATTTGAGATTGGCAAAAGTCGATATTAAAACCGACGGATGGAAGCAAATTGTGAATGAATATTTGAAGTCGCCTTATTTTCCATATATGGGGATCAAATAGAGGACCGCAATAAATGCCGAATGGGCCTTTTAATCTAATATAAAACCTCAAAACGAAAGCACGCGATAGATGAAGTAAATGAGCATGCAAAAGATCACGGTAAAATGACAATGGTCACTTTCTTTTTAAATATCGTTATATCACTATCAATTTCATCCATAAAACTGCATGAAAACCACAGTAACAATATGCAACTTACCGCAGTTATCACGATGAGGAAAACTAGTGACCAACCAAATATTTTCCAAAATGGAAATGGAGACATCTTCACTCGTCTACTTCTCGCAGTAGACTAATGAGGTTCACAAAGCTGTAACCGATGAAATAGGGAGATTTTGTCGCGGGTTGTGATTTCGTTTTTTTCTCTTGATTTTGTCAGGTGCTTTATTGTTATTCTACGATACACGCTTTGCACGCCTTAGGTCACTGGTACTGATTGGAAAATTACATAGGAATATTGTCATAAGAAGATTATCTGATTAAAGTAGAGATAGTTGAACAGTCTGTTTCTATTAATTTGACCCCCACAAAAAACGAAAGTCGCGTCTCTGTAGACTTTTAAAAGAAGGTCACTGGAATGTTTGTGATGTGAGTTAAGGCTGATTTACACGATACGATTTGTCGCGCGCGACTTGTAGTATACGATTTTCCTACTACAAGTCGTAGGATTTTAAGCAGTGGCTCAAAATCCTACTACAAGTCGTAGGTTGCGTACGACTGTTGTAGACAAGTCGTAGGGGCATTTACACTGCGCGATTCAAGTCGTATACTACAAATCGCACGAGACAATCGTGCCGTGTAAATAAGCCTTTAGAAGCTGAAAGAAGATTTAGATAGCTAGGGCAGCTGATGATGTTTCCACATTTGTCGTCTTTATTGGTAAACTTTATAAATAAAGATCGTGCCTAAACACCTTTTTATCTCAAATTAGTGATTTCCCCCAGAACAACTTTCTATAGATCTATGAATCAGACAGTGGAAAAGGGCGTTCCGTCTAATTTTGGTACCTGTTTTGCCGAGGTCCCTCTATTTGATATATTATCATGAAAATTTAAGGGTAGAAAATCAAAAACTTCTCACTAAGAAATAATAATTTATGCTGTTAAAATAATCCGTCAAATGCGCCACCATGAATATTCTTTTCAATTTTTTTTTCTTTACAAATTGGAACCGCACGTGATCGACAAATAAAATGAGGCGGAGTTTTTATTCCAGCTCATCGGAGGCAAACAAAGGGAGTCGATACAACACAACCCGTTCTTGTCAGGACACAGCGAAGCAGAAAAAGATCATAAATATCATGATTTACAGTATCAAAGTTTACCCTAAAAGCATCTTTGTTTAACAGTTGTCTCACTGTTGGTTTTGAAGAATTGCTTTGTGTTATTAACTGTATCAGAAGGACAATGAAAAAGGGTGTTCCCTCTAATTTTGGTACCTGTTTTGACAAGCTTGACTATATATTTCAATATATTTTCATGCAATTAAGCAAAGAATATCCAAAACGTCTCGCTAAAAATGATAATGGCGATGGTTTGATTGTCAATTAACTTTTTTGTCACTCTCTTTTTATTATCTACAGAATGATGTCATGATTAGCAATATTACATGAAGTTTTTATTTGTCTCATCAAATGCAAACAAAGGAATCATTATCTACACGACACGTTTGTTTTGACTACAAAGCGAGAGCACTAGTAAGCAAAGCATTAGAATTATCAGGAATATGGCAATAAGCTAAAGCACTGATGTCATGTGTTGTATAGACCTAATCGGCTAACGGCGTTGCTATGTACGTTGCCGCCCAAAACAAATCCTGAGTGAAAAAGAACTTTTGTTTCTAAGAATTCAACTTTGAAATGAAAATACAACGAACAATGCAACTTACTCCCGGGTGGTTTGAATTGGGTTGAAGCCGATTATATCTATTGGGGATATGGAGATACCGCCGTAAGAACCTATTCTATTGGAGCATAATAATGAAAAACAATAGGAAAATAGACAAAAGGACATGTAAACAATGCTATTGTTATAATTCTCAACAGATTTTACTATAGGAACTTTGACTGTTGAATAGTCGACTTTAGATATTTTGGTTCAGTGACCATGCACAAAAGAATTGCAGACGAGGCTCCGGGGAAATAAAAGAATAAATCAAGATTATCCATTGTTTCCCCGGAGCCTCGTGTGCGTTCTTTTGTACATAGTCATCGAACCAAAATATCTAAAGTTGACTATTGCTCCCGGGTTATTGCCAACAAAAAAAATCTGATAACCTACGTAATGAATACTCCGGATCTATCTTCCATTTCATTGCTGTGAAGAGTGTACATACAGTTCACGGGTACACACAGTTCAGGGGCGGCGGAGCGTTTTTGGCCCTGGGGGGAGGGGGGCCTAAGAAGATTAACTAATGTGGTCAAGAAATCTTGTTTTTATTCAATGTTCAAAACTACGTACCCACAATACATTTCGGTCTCGCCTGTGTTTTTCATGTTTTTGAAGTCAGCAACGTAATTGAAATAAGTATATAAAGAAAGCGTTCAGGCACGTAGCAGAAAACTTCATCTGGGCCAAACCCCGCCAGAATCTCGTCGTCATTAAATCTTCCTTCCAACTTTTTGCCAAGTTTTGTTGGATCTATTATTGCTACTCGAAGCTCTTTGTTTTCGAAATCCTTCTCTGCTCTCTCACTAAGACATCTTGTGATTTTCTTTTTTTCAGCTCGCAGTGTTTCCGGGTCAGCTTGGCTACCAGCGACCTCTGCATCCACGTAATAAAAAAAGTTATCATATTTCTTTTTCTTGTATGAATCGGCCATGTTGTCCACATATTGTTTAAATGCATCAGACGCGATGTACGTTTCGAACTCTTTCATCTTTTTTTTTCACGGGAGGGGAAAACTTATCTCTAAAATTCATCGGTAGTGACAATGGACATTTTAAAACGTCGTCACAAGAAACACTTGGTGTGTGTATTGTCTCAGTGACTGTCAGTATCAACTTTTATGTTGACTTCTTTTTCTACCAAACCAATTCTTAAGACTGGTGGTTAAGATTTTTTCCCTTGTGTGTGCTGTTACAAGTCAAAGATGGCACGTGTGGCAATTGATCATATTTCTTTGTCCGCTGACGGCCTCGTCAAACTGTCTTGTCAATCTTTCAAAATCAGGGTCATCCTTCAGTTTGGCTATCCCTTCATAATATTTAGGGTCGATTCCAGGCTCCTCTTTCAGGAGATCAACCAGGCTTTGAACGACGGCTTTAGGATCAAATGCTGTACTCGCCTGAGGTGTCAGTGATGTAGACATATCGAGACAAAGGGTTTTGCCCAATCTTGCGAGCCACTTGGCTTGCAAATCACTAGTGAACAAGTCAGGAAGTGCAGTCCTTTTGTCATGATGTCTTGAAGTGACATTCTTGAAAATCGTATGTGCGTGTTTTGCTTTACGATTCTTAAAAGCTTCTGAGCACTGTCAGGATTAACATGAAAATATTTCATATCTATTTATTTAACAATTATTCGCCGAAGGCGAAGTGATTATCAATGAATATTTACCGAGCGGCGATTCCGCGAGCCGATTGTTATGTGGCGGGGATTGAAGATGGCGGTCGAGGGCCGCTCGGATTGACAGCAAAGTCGTCTTCTTGTGATAATTGCCATCTTTCTTCCTTATGGACACGTAAAACTTTGATAGACACTTGTTTAATTCACTTGTATCCATGTCTTCAAAGCTGACAGTAAATTCAGACTGTTGTTGAAACCATTCTGTCAAAAAATTTATCGAGTAAAATGTAAACAAACCAGGCGAAAACATACAAATTTCAGCCTGTTTGACGTAAAACGATAGATAAAAAAGTAGTTTTAGACAAGGTTTTTATTATTAAATAAACAAAA